TAATCTGTGACAATTTACCTCGTGATAAGTAATCAATCTTGAGTAATGAAGAATAATTTATAGTTTTGTAAAAAATAAGTAAAAAAATTGTAAAATTGGATTGTAAAAAATACGTAAATACTTCTTTCAGGATTTGAGCGGAAGTGAAAAGGTAAGTGTCAATTACCTCATAGTCAACAACATAAACTTAAACCTCAAATGTAATGTAAGTCCAGACATTGATTTGCCCGGACACCTTTTTGATGAGTACAAAGGTTACTCTACGTAATTCTCTAATTGGCTTTATTAAAGAAACAAACGACTCGTGGGCGTTTTTATCATACAATAAATCACTACAGGGAGAATAAATCAGGAGGGGCGCAACCCCGAGTGGTTTATTATCCCTGCAGTGTTTTATTGTACGACAAACAACGACCACGAGTCGTAGTTTTATTTCTTATATGAGATATCTATATTTTGTATAGCCTCTTAATGGGTGTTAATAAAATGTACAAGCTTCAGAAATGTTTACCAGTATTTACTGATGACTCCCTGAATAGAATCCAATCTCCACAAAGTCGGACAGGTCCATTTTATGAACAGGGGGGTAAATTGGCCTTTACCACATGGTCTCACAATTTTCATGTCGATTATATGTACCTTTTCTCCCAATACCAATTGTCATATTTCTCCCACTTTTGGATTGCAATTGTTAGTCCATTGCGTTTATCTACGTTGCCCAGCTGCATCTACGGGGAACAACTCACAAGGCACTTCCTTCCCGAAATTAATGTCGTCCAATTAGTTGCGAGCGCATGTTCGAATCTCCAGAAATGACGTCATGATAGAAAAAATGTTTTATCGTGAAATTAAACAAACTTCGTTTTCCGTTGTTCTTTGTGATTTATCGCGTAGCTATCATATATATTCCAATATTCCTAAACTCACAACACAGCCGTTCAACGGAAAACAAGTTTTTTATTCACTTTTAAATATTTTAAACAGCATATTCCAAAATGTGAAAAATAAACGTTTCTAAAGATTATCAACTAAGCATTCTGTATCCTATTAAGTAGTATCCCCCAATAAGAGTCCTCTGGAGGTCGCGGGGGTGGTGGGGTAGCCTAGTGGTTAAAGCGTTCAGTCGTCACGCCGAAGACCCGAGATCGATTCCCTTCAGAGGTACAATGTGTGAAGCTCATTTCCTGTGTCCCCCGTCGTGATTTTGCTGGAATATTGCTAATAGCGGCCTAAAACTAAACTCGCTCACTCACTCACTCTAGAAGTAGCCTTTTTGACAGTGGCGACACAGGCTTAAACCTTGCACTGAAGGTACGTACTTTTAGGATAGGTCGTCATCTGATTATATTCATATTAAACTGTTCACAGTCCCGTGCGTTACCCGGAGCGTCTGGCGTGTTCATGTCAAGTCGGCGGCCAGATGATCCCATAACTCCGATGAGGTCAGAACGATCTCTGCGACCGGTGCCCAATCTTCACGACCACGATGCCGTGAGTAACTACAGTGTGGTTATTTAAATATACAAACATTGCAGAGTTGAGTTTAACACCGCTTACAAAAGTATGTCCATGATATCAGGGCTTAAAGTGATGCACGAGTTTCGTATAAAACACCAAGGATCGCAATCAGGACGAATCCGGAATTGAAACGCAGGACCAGTAGCTTTCCAGACATGGAATGCTGAAAATGTACTAACTAAGTTGGTGTTTTATCTCCAGGCAAGAGTCCTAACCAGTGAGCCACATCTGGGAGAGGCAAACATCCGCTTTGTCCACTCCAGACATCAACTGACTCGTCCTGACTTCACTCGTGGTGCAACAACGGACCGGCCCAGAACACCAGTCGAAGATTACGAAGAAAGACCAAGCAGTTCATCCTCTCTTATCAGGGGCAAGTCTCCGGGCAGAAGAAAGTCACGCCGTGTCGCCCCCGGCCCCGAACCGGAACCAGACTATGATGCTTGAAGAACTCCAGAAACTATTAGATAGTTGTCTTTCAGAAAATGCTTAAATGTAACTTACTTTTTGTTATTTGTAAACACATGTCGTGCAAATGGTTGATTTAAAAATAAAGGTTACTTAACTGAATGTTGAAAAAATCAGCCAATTAAATAATAATCCCCAGTCTGATAATCTAATTACAATGGCTTCCATTGATGGAAACTGCTGACAGGATGTCATCGATAAATGATATATGAATGTTGGCTGAGTGTTTCTATCAATGAAATCTCACAGGTTATTCTTCTTTTGTAACAAAATTTACACTAGCGTACACTATAACTCGAGCGGGCAATGGAAACTTGAATATGAGCTTGTTAAGGTTAAAATTGTAAAAGGCATGTATTTTTAAAATCCTTTCAAGATGGTTATTTTATCTATTCACTTACAAGATCAACGTTTTGTATTGTGTATATGCCACAACCACTTTGGACTTATGTGCACTGGACAGAAACGTATTAATATATCGCATAATTGTACATTTTAGTAAGGATATTAACAGTGTTTCTCAAAAATAAATATTGTTCAGCAATTGAAAAGTTGTTTTTGTCAGTCTGTTCGATCTCGGCCGTGATGGAAAACACCACCACCCAACCCAACCCAATCCCATGTCCCCCCAACCCGAGAAGGAGGAGTGGGAGGGGTGGATGTTGAGGGTATTTAAAAAATGAACGATTTGAAGAAGATGAATTGGAAATTGCGAGTCATTGTACTGTGATAAGCAGTAACGAATCTTCACTCAATGACTCACTTCAAGCCATGACTCACTGGACAACACTTTTCGACGGTCACCACACATTAGATGGTCGTTGTGCTACAGTTAAAGGGCTGGCGTTTTTACAAACTTTGGCAATATACTGAAAGACATAAGATATAATAAAAGACATGTATGATGATTGCTAAAAAAACAGCAAACAAAAAATGGTTTGTCGATGGTGATGTATTTGAAACGGGTGTTTTGCACCTCCTGTTTTCAGTGTTTCGGCAACAATTTTTAGCCTGGTAATTTTTTTATAACGTTTGTAATTGTATATATTCTTTTATCCTGCAGTGTAATTCAGTGTCGACGACCGGTCACAGTTTTTGAACACAGAGGATGAGAATCTTGCCCTTGTGACTGTACTACAACAAACAATATCAAGATGTGCATTTTAAGTAACTTTATAAGTTTATTCCAAAGTAACTATAACGACTAGGGCATATATAAATTAAGGAAGGGTTACATCTGATGGAATAAGAAAAATGATCATAACAAATATGATACGACATGTAACAAGATAAGGCTAGATGATGTATGGAATAATCACTTGTTTATGTTCAGCATACCAAACGTTGATGTTGACATTAGAGACCGCCTCCGTGGTCTAATGGTAGAGCGTCCGCCCGGACAAGGGAGGCCCGGGGTTCGATCCCCAGCCGCGTCATACCAAAAGACGTTAAAAGATGGTAATTTGTTGTTACCCTGTCTGGCGCTCGGCATTAAGGAGCTAAAACAAGGACTGGTCGGCTCGGAGTCAGTATACTGTGTCTGAGTTGGGTATTCATGTTAAAACTGCGGCATGGTATCTCAGTGTGCTAGCACTATAAATCGGCATCAGTCCGGACTAGTACAAGCAGCCACACACACACATACACGTGCATGCACGTCGCTATATAAGTGCAATACTATTGGACGCGACGTTAAACACCATTTCACCTCACCTCACCTGTTGACATTAGATCGATGAGAGTATTATTATCTTTGTAATCAATCCCAATCACATTAGTGTGTGAGTGAGTAAGTTCGGTTTAACGCCGCTTTTTACATTATTCCAGTTATATCGCGGCGTGTCAGCTTAATATGGGAGGAAAGCCCTAAGTGATGCAGGCCTATGACGTTTACCACTTCGGTGAAACCCACGAGCACGGGTATGGTGCTGACAAACCTAGAAACATAATCGGGGCGAACCGGGATTCGAACCCACAACCATAGGTTTCTGGTGTGCCCAAGGGACGCAACTCTGCACAGCGAATCGCGGCGCCTTAGACGACTGGGCCACCCGTGCCCCCTCCACTTGACTCTCCACTTAGAGGTACATGATCACTAACATAAACAACAGTTTTGACAGACCACAAGCATGTAATTTTCCAAACAATATGATCTTGGCACATATCATAAGCAGTGTAATGATCATTGTAAGATGCCTTATTCATGTAATAATATTAAGTCCAATAATAATGCGCCTGATCCACACAGTTGAATGATCAAGGCGCTACATTATTATAACCCTGGTTAATGGATCAGCGTGCACTCGTTGTTGTTCTCAGCTCCCTGGGGAGTATACTACCCAAGTTGTGTGTACCTAAAATGTCCTTACATTGTACCAACGGTGTCCGTACCACGGTAAATCGGTGTAATTAAGAGAGAACGAAAAAGCGTGTTTTGGTATAAAATAATACACGAGGGCCTGGAGCATCTGAGTGTATTATTTTCACCAATACACGTTTTTGAGGTACTTCTTTGCCATAAATGATTTAGCTCTGACGAGGAGCCGAACGCGCAAATACAACGATCTGCACCTGCATTTGAATGAAGCAGGCTCTTGCACGAGCGGTTCGTGGTGCGCGAAAAATAGGCTGGCCAAGCCAAGACTTCTCTTCTTTTGCGGACAATGGAACAGTTCATGTTATGGGGTTTCAGCTACTTTGCTGAAATTGTTCGTCAGAAATAATACAACGTGTAAGGTCACCAAAAATATTTATGCAGCTTGTGAGAAGATGATGTTGTTGGTGCTCCAAGCTCATGACAGTGGTCAGGTGTGGTTCGTGCCGCTTATGTCACAGATACTCATCTGATGCAATAGGTCTTCAGCAACCCATGCTGGTCCTAAAAGGCGACTATGCTGGTCCTAAAAGGCGACTATGCTGGTCCTAAAAGGCGACTAGGCTTGTCGTAAGAGACGACTAACGGGATCGGGTGGTCAGGCTCGCTGACTTTGTTGAAGCATGTCACCTTGGATCGGTGCTCATGATATGAATCACTGGATTGTGTGGTCAAGATTCGATTACTTACAGACCGCCGTCATAAAGCTGGAATATTGCTGAGTGCGGCGTTAACAACAAACAAACAAACAAACAATAGCAACTGTCAATACCAGAATAGGTGTACATCCTGATAAGCTGGAAGAAACGTTCTTGTAATACAATGTGCATGTCTATATCACACTAAACTTTGCATATCGCATATGGATACCAACATACACATACTGTATGTAGTACGTATCTTTATGAGTGTCAGAGGACTATCCTGCCGAGTCGCGTCCCTTGGGCACGCCAGGAACCCCTGCTTGTGGACACGGACGCCGGTTCGCCCGGATAATGTGTCTAGGTTTGCCAGCACCATACCTGTGCTCGTGAGTTTTAAAAAAAGTGAAAGACCTGCATCACTTCGGGTTGTCCTCCCACATCAAGCTGACATGCCGTGATATCACTGGATTACTGTTCAAAGCGGCGTTAAAGCAAACTTTTAAAAAATTACAGTGATGCTCATTTCAACCCTTCGTCTATTTCAAACACCTTATTTCCATTCCACAGTCATGTATATCATCCTCGGTGGTTAGGGCGTTTACGTCATCATTGTGTAATACATGGAAACGAACGTCCATAAAATACTGTTTTCAGGTCCGCTGATTTGTTGTGATTATGATGGGCTGTAGCACAGATTTATATAATCGGTCTCATCAAAGTGTCTTAAATTATATCGCAGCACAAAGTCAACGAACTGTTTCAAAGGGCACATTCCATCATGAGTATGTCCATGACAAAAAATTACTTCGCGAGTGACATCTTTACCATCATGAAGCACCCGGATGTAATGTTCAGATGTATCCTTCCGAGAATATAGTTCTAGCACAATCCTAGCTGCGTAACGCGGCCACGTCCCTCCGCCAGCACCAAAAACAACAGTTAGTGGTACCAAGGTCGCATCATGTCCAGACAAGAGATGGAATTTCGTATTGATGACACCATTAGCTGCATCCTGCATCTGTTCCGAGATTTCAGTTAGGAATGGATGTAAAGCTAAACTGGCATATTTCCGATAATTTTCATCCGTAATGAGATATTTGGTATAATTTGTGACGTGTCCCCAAAGTTCGGTTACCATTCTTTGCGTAATGCACTTCCCTTGCTTATTACAGGGTAAAGGGAGAGAGTTACATGTGTGGGACAGAAATACGTCCATCATTGCCCACAGCCTGGGTAGTCGACTCACTGGCATGTCATAAATATTCGCCATTGCATTGATTAAAGTGTCATACCCGGTACTGTTCCTTACAGCAGAGCTTGCCTGCGCATCCGCTTGCTTCTTCAGACTCCGCAGCACTGGACACGTGCAAGGAGCTGCGAGCGTTTGCTCGGAACAGAAGAACAGGTTTGAAACTCGTTTCACGTGCATTTCTGTGAGGTTAAAGCGCGGTAGGAAGGCGTAGAGAAACGCAATGGCGCTCTGGTATGTTCGAGAATATTCCGTGCTGCGAGGTAGTACTTGATCTGCACGAAAGTTTGGTCCGAACAGGCGCCATTTTTGGACGTAACGTTCGTGCATCAAGTACCCGATATTCAGCAACTGTTTCGCACCAACAGCACTGAGTTGAGAGCTGTCACAAACCTTCCTCCCAGGATACAGAGCCCAGCTCATGAAACCACTGTCCTCTCGTTGACGACCCTCCCAGCCTCGCATCGTCGTGACGTAAGCGGCGAGTTTGGCGTCCTTCATCACCTCCTGAGGGTCAAACTGGCAGCTGAGACGGGGGTTAGGGTGACGGTTGAACGTGTACATTGGCGATCGGTCACCGTGTCGAGTGATGACATGGACAGAAATCAGGTCATATCCTTGGGGAGCTATTCCTGTGAAGAAAATAATTCTGTTTTTAAATTTTAAATTTATACAATCATATGGTATTTACGCTTTATGACACATGAGCGGACATTCCTTTCGCCATTTTTAGAAATGATGGGAGGTGAGATGAAATTGGGTTTAACGTCGCCTTCATAATTATTTCACTCGCGTTGCATGACTATTTCTAATTCTATCAACTGGACCACGGAGGCGGTCATAAACGATATGTTATACAACAGACTTTTTGGCTTCACTTATCGTTAGGGATTCGAGCCGAGTATTCAGCTCAACGAACAAGAACGGATAAAAATTAGAAAAACGAAAGTCTTTAAGGATAACAACTTCTGGTTTATTGCATACAGCGACGTTTAATCCCTATCCTTGCTGTACATGTGGCTTCACTACCCGTGTGCAATTTAATATTCTTACTGTACACCTGGCGCCATCCCATTATCTGTATGCTACTTGTCATCTATTGCCTCTTGTTGTCAATGTTAATCTGCTGCGTATCACAACATGTCATGCATATATACGGGGACACGGGTGGCCCAGTCGTCTGAGGCGCCGCGATTCGCTTTGCGTCCCTTGGGCACGCCAGAAACCTATGATTGTGGGTTCGAATCCCGGTTCGCCCTGATTATGTTTCTAGGTTTGTCAGCACCATACCCGTGCTCGTGGGTTTCACCGAAGTGGTAAACGTCCGAGACCTGCATCACTTAGGGCTTTCCTCCCACATTAAGCTGACACGCCGTGATATAACTGGAATAATGTTAAAAGCGGCGTTAAACCCAACTCACTCACTCACTCACTCATGCATATATACCTCTCATCACTTCGGTTTTGTCACTCCAGCTTTATAACGATGTAAGAATCTACATCGAAACGTCGCTAAATTATACGCAAAGTTATACGTTTTCTTACTTGTTTGCCAACTTCTAGAATGCAAATCAAACAGTTAAACAGTTTAATAACGAACGAACGAACGAACGAACGAACGAACGAACGAACGAACACTCTAATAGCTACATATGCTGGACACTACCACGCTGCCTGGATGGCCTGGGGTGGTCGGGTAGTCTAGTGGTTAAAGCGTTCGCTCGTCGCGCGGAAGACCCGGGTTCGATTCCCGACGTGGGTACAATGTGTGGAGCCCATTTCTGGTGTCCCCCGCTGTGATATTGCTCGAAAATTGCTAAAAGCGGCGTAAAACAATACTCCCTTAATTCATGGGTGGTGCAGGGCAATGTAAAACATGGGTATGCCTTGCTGAGCACCAAATCTATTTGAACCAATTAATTCCGTCTGTACTTTGTATAATAACGTAAGACTTGCCTTCCTGTGATGCCGCCAGGACATCGTCGCGATTACAATAGTCCGACATAGGAGGCACCTCTGACATCACATGTGTATCACGTGACACGGCGTCGGCGTCATGTGACATCGAATCTCGTTTAACAATAGACACTTTTTCGGCCTTTTTTTTTACATCCAGATGGGTTTGTTTTGCTTTTACATTTTTGGCCTCTTGAAGGGCATCAACGTGTTCTGGTACTGCTGTGGAACTCATGGCATCGATATGGTCCATCATCTGGTAAGGCGGGTTGATGCGTAGTTCCTGCAGCTTCATGATGGTCTTAAAACGGTTGTTGGTAGGCTCCCTCATATCCGCGTCCTCTACCAGAAATGAGTCTGAAAGGATTCACATTAAAAATCTGAGTTTCCAAAAAAGGATATATGTATCACTGTTATGAAGGCTCATTGATGTATTCATCGTTGAAACCTTCGATAGATAACTGAACAAGACCCTCTCGGATGAAATATTTTTAAACGTAATTAAATTTGTAGACCTATTTCTTTATTATCGATATGGAAACAGGGTTTTTTTTAACAAAGGGTATCGAGAGTACAAGGTCCGCATCTCAGAAGAAAGTCGAAGGAAGGGAAAATAGACAGAAGGCTGTACATGGTGATGTATGTTTTGTTGTGTGTTCGTTTGTTTTGTTTGTTTGTTTGTTGTTTAACGACGCACTCAGCAATATTCCAGCGGCGGCGGTCTGTAAATAATCGAGCCTTGACCACACAATCCAGTGATTGATATCGTGAGCATCGATCCACGCAATTGGGATCGATGACCTGCAAAGCATAGTCGCATAGCATAGTCGCCTGTTACGGAAAACATGGGTTGCTGAAGACCTGTGCTACCCCGGATCTTTACGGGTCTCATGTATTTATGCATATATTTAGGCTATTGGTTGATGCTAGATTTGTGTGAGTAAGTGTTATTTGAATTGAACTTATATAAAATAATTATTGTTCGATATAGCTGGTCTTATTTAGTAACTAATGTCACTAAAGTGACTTTATATCCTGGTTATGATTGTAATCTTGATACAAGGCAATGGAACGTGCTTTTGTAGTGTAACATCGTTAATTTTCTATAAAATTGTTTGATCAAAGTTATAACGTTTAAGGCACCATTAATGCTTTCAAAAAGATTTATGGTAGTCATGGGGAGAACGTTTCCAAATTTGACGCATCTGAGACAAATGTCAGATGCAATTTCCTATTTTGACTTGTGCATTTGTTCCTGTAAATTTGTCTGGTGGAAAATTGACACACCTTTGTATGTGTCTTACCGCAAACACCTGATATCATCACTCTTTGATAAAAAAAAATCAACACATGCTTGTGATAAAGTCGGAATCATACAATTGAGATCTCTTATGATTACAGAAATGGTTGTGTGGCTTTATTTAACGTATGGTTAACCTATCACTGAATGGCGGAAACATGACACACACGTGACCACTGGATGCATCACACGTGTGTGAGTATAAAATAAACAACCAAACAAAACCCTTTCCATAATAAAAAGAACTCAAAGTGCATATCTGCCATCACCAAAACCTGCATATCATGATCAGTTGTTTGTACACATCATCATTTAACTGTGAGTGAGTGAGTATTGTTTTACACCGCTTTTAGCAATATTCCAGTAATATCACGGCGGGGAACACCAGAAATGGGCTTCACACTTTGTACTCATGTGCGGTTTCGAACCCGGGTCTTCGCCGTGACGGGCGAACACTTTAACCACTAGGCTACCCCACCACCCCTTTCACAACAGGTAAATAAAGACGTAAATTCTAATCTGAAGTACCTAATCCTGAATGAGAGAGTTATGATATAAACATATGCATGTTTAATGAAAATGACCTTGTCTCTGAATCAAGTTTTAAGGTAATACTATAATTATTTGAGAATAATCTACGAGTATCGGATTGTCTGTCATAAGTGAATTTTTAAATTTTGTTGGTCCCGAGCCTTGATCAGTAGGTTATTCTACATACCTCCTATGGTCTTTTTTCCATGTAATTTGTGAACAGGTCAATGTCCCGATCACAAGTGAATATATATGCCAATCTGATGTTGGAATGACGTTTTTAATTGTCTATGTACGTCATGAACAATGCATTACGTCATCTTTAATCATTTGCGACAATATGTTGAAATGATATTGACCGCTACTCAAATTATCAAAACAATAGACAAATTGACGTGACAATGAACAAGAAGTAAAATCTACCTCACTCAGTGAGAAATAATAAAAATAATTTCACCCACACCCCTATGGGTTGATGTATATATAACTGTCATAAATTGAAAAAGGGTGTTGTAATGGATGAATGAATGAATGAATGATTAATTAATTAATTAATTAATTAATTAATTAATTAATTAATTCTTTAAGAAAAGTTAAAATCAGTTGGAATGTATGCTCTATTGAATTCTTGGAGACCGGACCCGTGAAGATTCCGGGGTAGAATAGGTCTTCAGCAACCCATGTTTGCCGTAAAAGGTGACTATGCTTGACGTAAAAGGCAACTAACGGGATCGGGTGGTCAGGCTCGCTGACATGGTTGATGCATGTCATCGATCCCAAATGCTTGGATCGATGCTCATGATATATATCACTGGATTGTCTGGTCCAGACTCGATCATTTACAGACCGCCGTCATATAGCTGGAATATTGCTGAGTGCGGCGTTAAACAACAAACCAACCAACCAAATCTTGGAGACCGTTTTGATGAAGAGATGACAAGTCAAGCTTGCGTGTACCATTTTTCATCATCATACCCTAGTTTACCCAATTGAGCTACTCCTAAATCCTAAATCCACGTCAACGTATCCCCATCAGGCAGTCACAATTCCGGTCTTTCAAGATCAATGATTAACTTAATAAAACTCAACTTCACTTTTTTGTCTCTGTATTGTATCGTGCTTTGTATTAGCTCAATACGGCAAAAAATACAGTAACGTCCTCAACACAACACCTTATAAAACGTCCGCGTGAGAATAGTAAATATTTCATACATGACGTCAAATCAAGCCTTAGAATAAGATGCTGAGATCGAAGCGGATGATAAACAGACTCCATTAATCAACCACTAATTAAGAACACTATATTTAGAATGTAGTTCGTTTCTTCTGAATATACACGTAATGTTTTAATTTAATCTTTGGAAATAAGAATATGCATGGATCTCATAGACGTTGTCATGTTGACGAGAATGTCGTAAACAGCTGAGCTGATAGATAAACATTTAATAGGCTTCAGCTGTAACATTCGGTATTAGCAAGAACTAGTGCAAATAGGTCCAGATGTTCGTGACCTGACGCAGTTGAATGAAAGATGAGATTGGCATCTTTGGATAAGGAATAATCTCAACTCACGCCATGGTGTTATTTGACGTGACTGGCGATGTAGGTGACGTTGAAATTACGCACCTCACGTCCCCGTTTCGTGATCAAATGGGGCAATAGTGCAGATGGGTTACTAAAACGCTGTAATATACTGAATATGGGCGAACATACTATCATGACACGTGTCAACATAGTTACCCTTTGCGAGTCAATTCTTATGAAAATACCGATTCCCCATATACGTTTTATCTTGTGATATTGAGGGGGCACGGGTGGCCCAGTCGTCTAAGGCGCCGCGATTCGCTGTACAAAGTTGCGTCCCGTCGGCAGGTCAGAAACCTATGATTGTGGGTTCGAATCCCAGTTCGCCCCGATTATGTTTCTAGGTTTGTCAGCACCATACTCGCGCTCGTGGGTTTCACCGAAGTGGTAAACGTCTGAGATCTGCATCACTTCAGGCTTTCCTCCCACATTAAGCTGACACGCCTTGATATAACTGTAATACTGTTAAAAGCGGCGTTAAACCAATCTCACTCTCTTCTGATATTGATTGATAATGGCCGATATTTCATCTAAACTAGCAGCCCATAACGTATATAGTTGTATCTATAAAGATGAATATAATAGCATTTGGAAAGAAATGGAAACGTTTCTTCGTAAAATATCATTGTTTACCGTGGGATTTAGTTACTCGGTCCTTGATAACAAACGTTCTGTACCAAGGTATCCACTATGAAATATAAGGATAATTACACAAAAAATAGAATCCACATAGTCACTTCTATGATAATGTGATGTCTATCATTTTCCGAAGTCAAAGTACTTTTTTACTTAAACCACAATCATAGGTTTCTGACCTGCCGACGGGACGCACCTTTGTACAGCGAATCGCGGCGCCATAGACGACTGGGCCACCCGTGCTCCCTCAATATCACAAGATAAAACGTTATATTCCATCTTTATGAAGGGCGACAACACATTATGTATAGGCATTGTTGAGAAGCACAATTCCAATCACTTACGAGTTTAAAGACTATAAATTAAAGATATAAATTGGCAACAACAAATTATGCCGTGGAATGCTGGGGAAGCACGATGTCAATCCCTTAGAAGTTTAAAGAAAGGTATCTGCCCTTATCCTTCTTTAGATTCATGTATCCAACTTATAGGGTATAAATTGGCGACAGGAAATCTACGCCTTGGAATGCTAGAGATGCTATGGTCAGTAAGAATTGAGAATTGACTAGTTTTAGATTCAGTATGTATTATTCATTGATAACCCCAACAAGGCAAGAGTAAAGTACTCTTAAAAGGTGTTAATATCATAGGTGTCTATAGTTGATTGTAAATATTTTAGTAAGGTTTATCTAGATAGGCAATACGTTACTTTCAGTGTCATATATTGTCACATGTATGATTTATTGTTTCTGATTAAAATTTGTATGTATCTGATAAGCATCATGGCATAATGGATAAACGTTTACTTTTATGCAGAAATAAAAAGAAAAATACAACCTGACAACCTTGACAATGTGAAAATGTAATTACGCCGCTTTTGAAAATATCTTTCCAGTTACCTCGATGAGAACAAATGTCAGTAACTATAGTTGTAAAACACCCTCCGTGATGACATGATTTTTGGTTTTCTTATTCCAGCATTTAGTTTAATCATTTTAAACACGCAAAGAAGTCCTTTCTCTGGTCATGACAAGGTCGGCGTATCGTTACAGTGGTAGAATCAAGCACAACAATACTTACATGCAAACAAGAGTGTCGTAATCCACAGCAGAAGACCAACAAAAACTAGACGACGTCGAAGGTAGAACACACACAGCATGCTTGCTACACAGAGGCTGAATCCTGCTGAGTGTGTCAGGAGAGCAACGCCAATAGAGGTGGTGGTGATACTAAGCGGTATAGGCTTTCTGAATAGTGTCTTGTCCTGTGTTTATTGGATATTGGATGTGTCTTCAGTTAAAGTTCTAGGTTATGTTCTTCCAACTGTTCACGATTCTGCTTCTGTGTTAGAAGTTAGAGCATGTTTGATGGAATTCTGGCACCATGAGGAATCGGTATCTGGCGCATATGACAGCACAGAAATGTAGAGTATGATTCGTCAGACAAGACGTTTTATCCTTTCAAACGAAGAAGCAGAATTCTGTCAACTTGGCGCCACAAACGTGAAGAACACGAATACCTATTGGGGCCTCTTCATCCTTGATTTAAGCCGATGGGTGATCTGTCGGAAATGGCGATGATATGTCTGCTGACATAATTAGATATACAGTTCTTATGGTGAATATTTGCGGAAACCTTGACTAAAACAAAGCCTTTCTTGGTCGTGAAAACATCCGTATGCAATAACTAGAACTTAAATATTGACGGTTCCCGTTTGTAGCTCTCTATATTACAATACTGTCAAATGTCGTTGATGGAAGTGAAGCCGAGCCTGTATTACCAGTCATGTCCGCTCCACGGGTAGAAGCCTTCTAGCTCGCCTACAAATATTATTACGTGTATAAGCCAGATATCCATAATTAATTATTTTCCTCATTAACTGGCCTCGACGACAAGGCTGCCCACTAACGGCGATGATGATCCGCCGCCTTTGCCTGGTATCATGCTAATTAAACTCATGATAAGACGATTACCTCCCCTGGGAATCACTTTGACGTCGTAGAATCGTGCGCGGTGTTGAAGACGTCGCGAAGCAGCGGGGTTTCCATGCGAGTATGGCACAAGGATATTGTATTTGTCCATGCATATTTATGACCCTGATTACAGTGTGATCACAGATAGCGCGATATATATGCTCAATAAGGGCGACAAACTAATAAAGCGCGGCCCTTAATCAGCACAGAGGTAGAATGATCTGGTCCTATGGTTGCAGTTGCGTGAACTGTCCCCATGAAAAATTCATAATCCAGGCACTGCCAGTATAAACCAAATTAGATACGAAAGGTTAGAATACTGAGTCCGCATAGGTAATCACTCACTAGGGTATAAGTCCCGCAAGGTTATTTTGGCTCCAGAGGTCGGCAGATGCTCATTCGGTACCGTATGCATATTCAGTGTATCGGTAGGCAACGGACCAACCAACCCGAGCTTGCGGCACGGTGGTCTACTGTCATTGCACCTGTCAATATAGAACTTTGTGACCACGGGTTCGAGTCCTTGTCGTTCGGATTATGTTCCTACAACTTTAATGTTCTCTCGTGTGATTCCTTTCGGTACCCGTGTTCGCAGGTATCAGTAAAGTGGTCAATCGTACTCGTATGGGATCCATCCAACATTAGGGACCGACCATAAGATAATGTAGGGGAAAGTTTAAAAAAAATTAATTCGGCTTTATATAAGACTATTGAAAAAAATATGCATTGTTGCAAGTTGTTGTAGGTTTGTTGGTTTTGTTGTTTAACGCCGCACTCAGCAATATTCCAGCTATATGACGGCGGTCTGTAAATAATGGAGTCTGGACCAGACAATCCAGTGATATCATGAGCATCGATCCATGCAATTGGGATCGGTGACATGCATCAACCAAGTCAGCGAGCCTGACCACCCGATCCCGTTAGTCGCCTCTTACGACAAGCATAGTCGCGTTTTACGGTTGCTTTGCAAGTTGTATTGTTAAAAGATTATTAAGTCTCATAGTTTTAATAAAAAAATGTGATGTTTCCAAACAAAATCCCAAGTGTACATGTACCTCAATGTGTTACTTTGGGAGCTCATCTGGTTTAACGAACATTGTTCACAAAGTTGAACCGTCAGTTAACAAACCGGTTGCTTAGGTTACCGAATTCGAAACGGAAAATTAGGTGTCAATTAGAATGTTAACCGAAACCAAGTACGTAGAGCAAACTCCAAGGACAATGAAATTACAAATATTAAAGGTTTAAGAAATACAATGTGCTCTGAATAACAAGGACGTCTCAGGTAAACCATTGTGGTTGGATACGACCTTGTGTCTGTTCTAATGATCTAATCATGACCTGAAATTGGCAAACTATTCCTGAAAAACAAAAATACACCGATTGATATTCACATTAATTAATTTTTGTTGCTGAGAATATTACATTATCTTGTACACTGAAATTTGTAATCAATAAACCTGGGTTGCCATGTTAAGTATGACGGGGATTTTCATTCAGGTTTGCTGGCTTCGCGAACACCTGCTTTGCAATGAATAGTGTTTGCAGCTACGGGTCTCTTGAGCACACCAGAAACCTATGTTTTAGTAGTGATGTCTTATAATTTGAGAATAATTTAGAGAAATAATTAGAGAGTTATTCATTCAAGTTTTAGTAGATATTTCTTGTAATTTAAGAATAAAGCCTTACATAGGGATCCATTCAGACGCTTTATCGTTGTTTTGTCTTTTGCGCCTAATGGAACTTGTTTCGGCGGATAATCGAGACTGGTTAGTCTCTGGCGTTGATGTTTTGTATATTGAATGATTATGGAATTGGATGTGATGTTGTTATTTAATAAGCGCCCATTTCGTAAAATCAGTTCGACACACATATTCAAGTCATAAACCAGAGACCATGCTCGAACAGTGACCTCTGAAGGAAAACAAGAGTCGAGATGTTTCGTATTATAACAGCAAATCAATACCCTCACTGTGATTAGGTTTCAATATTTTATGGCGTGTTGCCCCCTAGGTCCGTGTTCAACCGGGAAAGTAGTTTGCATGAAGTTGAGATACATAACCGGAATTATTACCAGACCCCGGGCCATAAAACGTACCTCCCACGATGTTGAGGATGCAGCGTAAAACTACATCAGACTGGGAAGGTGGACAAGATAAGGATGATTGGCAGAAAGCAGGTGTCTTCTGAAGCATGATCTATGGACGGTAGCTTGATGAGGTCGGTTGGTTGGTTTGTTGTTTAACGCCGCACTCAGCAATATTCCAGCTATGTGACGGTGGTCTGTAAATAATCGAGTCTGGACCAGACAATCTAGTGATTAATATTATTAGCATCGATCCACGCAATTGGGATCGATGACTTGCATCAACCAAGACAGCGAGCGTGACCAACTGATTCCGTTAGTCGTCTCTTACGACAAGCATAGTCGCCTTTTACGGCAAGCATGGGTTGCTGAAGACCTATTCTATCCCGGATCTTCACGGGTCGCCAGCGACAATATATGCCGCAACAAGGTGTCTTGTCAGCTCACCCTTAATATTGGAGAAACTGTTAAAAGGATTTAACATCCGTTTGCATGTAGAAACTCTATAAGAAATATGAGAAGACCATGTCAGCCTGTGATCAAACACCAAGGAATGTTAACTCTCGAATCCCCATTCACAACACCATTTGTATGTTTGTTTGAGCATAGTTGGATTGACACATGTGTCCAAAATGAATCCATTAGGAACTATCATCTGTGGACTGGAATGCTGGGACATTCTGGATAAATGCATTAAGAATATTGGACTATTTTCCAAGCGTCTTGTGAACAAAAAAGTGGTGTATTAACACACAATGCCATTTAGAAAGTGGTCAAATGTAACACATGTTATATTTTGGATAACCCTTTCTTAGTAAAGTTCAGATTTTTGTACTTTTTGGGGGTTGTGTCCCGTCCGGGATTCGAACCAACACTCCCAGAGTGAGGTATCTGTGACAGCGATCTAACCCACTCAGCCACCGAGACTTCAACAAAACGAAAGTCCTACAACTGGTAGTCTAGATCAAGTACTATGTGTACCCCTCTTACAAGTATAAATGTAAATAATTTCATACTTTAAAGTTTACACTGTTTCTTTCATGCCGATTGACTGAATGGATAGTCACGTGATCTGATATTTGGAGTTCACACACCACTCTCCTACCCAGAGTTCCATGCGATCAAGCACAGTACCTCTGCCACAGGCCAGCGCCATATGACATCACATCTTACACAGTCCATTCAAGATATTGCATATGTTTTTCATCTGTTTCATTTTTGACAAGTCTACATATCTAGATAAACATATGTCACAGAATCGTTAACTTTCATTGAGAAAATATCCTAAATCGTGAAAAACTATTTTTTTCCATTTGTGTAGTTATCCTATGTTTACATTGGTTGAACGGCTCCACGTGCTGTCATCGACGCCCTACGGGGAGCTAGCGAGACGGTCACTTTGATGTGTAAATATGTATTGTCATGCAGCTCAATGTTGCAGTTGTAGTAGCATATCTATATGTTTATGCAAAACAATATGTAAAACGCCCCGAAATATGTGCATTAGTCTGTTCTATTCTGATTTCTGAAAAAGCGCGTTGTTTACAAACAAGAGAAAAGTCCGGTCACGTGATATGCAAATTAGCCTGTGGCAGTTGTGTAATGTGCTGAGTCAACCCCTTGTCGGAGTGTGTTCACACATCTGTGAACGGACAGACATATTCACACGATGTGAACATTTTTTTGTCAAATTGATCGTGTGGGTTTTCCCCGAATTCTCGATCGGTGTTTACAATCAACTCGTTTTTCTATTTTCTTTTTAATCCCTGCATTTATCAGCAATATTATTAATTTAGTATTTTTGCCTGGCCTTGTAACATTCCATCCTACTAAAAACTTAAATAAATGCTTTGGTTCTGACTTTGATGCCTTGTTTTCGGAAATGACAGGAATCTAGCACCAAGACAATAGCGAATGAAAATGTTGTACCCTGTGGTCGCCGACACAGATCAAAGCGACTGCTCCTGATCCAAAGTAAATACGATCCACTATCGTATCGGAAAACAATCCAAGATTTTGAGAAACCGTAAAACTAAAAAAGCAAGGTAAGAAACTTAAATTTGAAAAAAATTGAAACAAAAAATACCTGCCTTCCTGTTTTACTGACTATTCACTGGAAACGAAAGCATGTCCGTAGACGGAAAGACTATTCCGGTCCCTTAGTTGGCTGACCTTCTCCGTGCATTCTAGGCCGAGAACACATGAGGAATGACGGGGCACAGAAATGAAGCTGGCAGCAGGTCATACAGTAGGTCCATCTCAGGTTACAAAGAGTGAGTGAGTGAGTATGGTTTTACGCCGCTTTTAGCAATATTCCAGCAATATCACGGCGGGAGACACCAGAAATGGGCTTCACACATTGTACCCATGTCGGGAATCGAACCCGGGTCTTCGGCGTGACGAGCCAACGCTTTAACCACTAGGCTACCCGACCGCCCAGGGTTACAAAGAACACCAGCTCCGTTCAATCCCCACCAGTCCATTCAACCCCGTCCGACTTGGTTTGCGATTGCAACAAAAGTTGATGTTGACATATTTTCAGATTATGTTGTATATATTCATAGAACTATCTTAATTTCTTTGCGTTACTGAGTATGAGTGGGGACCGAGAGCCGGCAAATACCGACAAAATAACACTGTTGCAATGTTCTTCGGGGAAACCAGACTTCTAATTTAAGCAAACATTGTTACGATATTATTCAGCGAGACCAGTAAACTACAAA